ATCATCATCATCATCATCATCATCATCATCATCATCATCATCATCATCATCATCATCATCATCATCATCATCATCATCATCATCATCATCATCATCATCATCATCATCATCATCATCATCATCATCATCATCATCATCATCATCATCATCATCATCATCATCATCATCATCATCATCATCATCATCATCATCATCCTCTGGAGAGGCCACACATTTGCTAACCTTCCACCATCACTATCAATTGCATATGCACACATCTAGCTCCCAGTGTACAAGACATTTCTGCTTGAGATGACGGCGGTCGGAGGATCAGACATCTGCGCACAGGGCGCGTGCAATGCGCTGCTGTTTGCTGGACATCGTCGGCAATCGTCAGAGCCTGCGTGCGTGACCCGATTCCTGAATCTGCGATGCTGGAAGGCGAAGGCCGAGATGGACCTCAACTCTCAACGATCAACGCTCAACTGCCATCGCCCTGGGAGGCGTCGCCATCACGGCGGGAAGGCACGCGAGGCGCGGTGTCCTCGTGCGAGGACTTGGTGAGTGGACCTCAAGGACAGGGACTGGTGGGTTTCTCGTCCTATCGATTCCTGTTCCTGCGGGAGTCCACCTGCTACGGGCGACCTGTTGCTCCAATTTCCTCTTCCTCCAGCTCTTGTTCCTCCTCCTCCTCCTCCTCCTTCTCCTTCTCCTCCTCCCCTCCCCTTCCTCCTGCTGCATATCCTTGTCACATCCATCTTTATATTCCAAGCATGTTTCCTCCATGCCCCCTCCTCACTCCCCGTGCCTCTTGCATCATCCTTATCATTAGTCAGTTCCCTTTTTCTTACTCCTACGTTGCAAAATATTTGGGGGAGACAATTTAAGAATGGTCTTCCCCAGCGCTGTAGTGCGCCTATAGAAACAAAAGGGAGGCGGGGCAAACTGGATCGCTGGAGACGTCCCCGCGACCGCCCTGGCGCCCTGCGTGCAGGGGCAGACTTCTGCGCACCCCCTCTTGGCGCCAGGCCACGCCTGCCACGCCCTGCGACCCCAGCGTGGCTAGAGACTGCGCACAGGGACCACTCCCTGCACACCGCGCACCCTGTTTGGGTTGCGAAGCGGCACTGGATACGCAAATGCGGCACGCCGCTGATCGATTTTATAAAACGGGAGCGATGGTTGATTTCAAAACCCAATAACGAAAACCCAATGTAAACATTCATTCTCCGATCGGGAAACGGGAACATCCCAATGTGGATATACGACACTGAATTCAAAAGTGCAAAGCGCCAGCGCGCGCGCGCGGCGGCGGCATGCCGCTTATAGATTTGATACAATGGGACGAAATTTCGCGCGCGCGGCGGCGGCATGCCGTTGGTGGATTATATACCGCGGGACGAAATTTGATTTCCAAAAAAACCCAATAGCGAAAACCAAATGTCAAAATTCATGCTCTGATCGGAAGACGGTGACATCCCCATGTGGATATACGACACCGAATGCACAAATGCCAATCGCCAACGAGTGCGCTCGCGGCGACGGCATGCCGCTGGTAGATTTGATACAACGGGAGCGATGCTGCACTCCAAAACCAAATGGCGAAAACTCAATGTAAAAAAATATTCCCTGATCGGGAGACGGGAACATCCCAATGTGAATATACGACACTGAATGCAAATATGCCAATCGCCAACGCGCGCGCGGCGGCGGCATGCCACTGATAGATTTTATACAACGGGAACGATGTTGCACTCCAAAACCCAATGGCGAAAACCGAATGGAAAAAAAAACATTCTCGGATCGGAAGACGGGAACATCCCCATGTGGATATACGACACGGAATGCACAAATGCCAATCGCCAACGCGCGCGCAGCGGCGGCATGCCGATGATACATTGCTACACAACGGGGGGCATGTTGAATTCCAAAACCCAATGGCAAAAACCCTATGTACAAGAAAAACCTTTCTCTGATCAGGATACAAGGACATCCCCATGTGGATATGCGACATTGACTGCACAGACGCGCGCGCGCGTTCGCGCGCGCGCGGGGCGGCGGCACGCCGCTGAACTATTGTTATACAACGGGGGCATGTTGAATTCCAAAACCCAATGGCAAAAAACCAATGTAAAAATCATTTTCTGATCGGGAGACAGGGACATCCCACTGTGAATATGCGACACTGAATGCACAAATTGCAATCGCCAACGTGCGCGCGCGCGGCGGCGGCATGCCGCTGATAGGTTTGACACAACGGGAGCGAGGTTGCACTCCCAAACCCACTGGCGAAAACCCGATGTAAAAAAACAGTAGCTGATCGGAAGAGGTGAACATCCCCATGTGGATATACGACACTGAATGCAGCAGTGCCAATCGCCAACGCGCGCGCGCGCGCGCGGCGGCGGCATGCCGCTGATAGATTTGATACAACGGAACGAAAGTTCGCGCGCGCGCGGCGGCGGCATGCCGCTGATAGATATGATGCAACGGGAGCGATGTTGCACTCCAAAACCCAATGGCGAAAACCCAATGTAAAAAATCATTCTCTGATCGAAAGACGGGAACGTCCCAATGAGGATATACGACACTGAATGCACAAATGCCAATCGCCAACGCTCGCGCGGCGGCGGCATGCCGCTGATAGATTTGATACAACGGGAGCGATGTCGAACTCTTAAACCCAATGGCAAAAACCCAATGCACAAAAACATTCTCTGATCGGAAGACAGGAACCTCCCCATGTGGATATACGACACTGAATGCACAAATGCCAATCGCCAACGCTCAAGCGCGCGCGCTCGGCGGCGGCATGCCGCTGATAGATTTTTATACAACGGGAGCCATGTTGAACTCCAAAACCCAATGGCGAAAACCCAATGTAAAAATTCACTCTCTGATCGGAAGACGGGAACATCCCCATGTGGATATGCGACACTGAATGCACAAATTCCAATCGCCAACGCGCGCGCGCGCGGCGGCGGCATACCGCTGATAGATGTTATACCGCGGGAGCGATGTTGAATTCCAAAACCCAATGGCAAAAACCCAAAGTAAAAAAAAAAAAAAAAAAAAATGATCGAATGACGGGAACATCCCCATCGGCATTATCCCTGGTACCGAGGTGTATACAAATGGCATCGATCGGCATCCATGGATTTCTTGCGGGGGGGTCAAATAAAAAACATTCATTCGGACGCGAATTAATGGCGGTCGGAATCCGGGGGGGTCATCATTTTTTAACCGGTGTTGGACATACACTTCCTCCTCCTTCTCCTCTTCCCCCTCCTCCTCCCCTTCCTCCTCCTCCTCCTCCTCCTCCTCCTCCTCCTCCTCCTCCTCCTCCTCTTCCTCCTCCTCCTCCTCCTTTTCCTCCTTCTCCTGCTATTGGTCTTGCTCACGCTCATCGCTATCCCCCTCCCCGTCCCCTCGTCCCCTCCGCCTGTCCCTGCCCCCCAGCTCCCACAGCACCCGCCCCTGGCGTTGCGGCGAGACCGAGGGCGGGGAGAAGGCAGGAGGCAGGCCTCTCGGGTGCCGTGCCCACCCCGCGGGGTGGCGACGATGGCCGCAAAGTCAAGGGCGCATTCGGAGAGCCTCCCAGGGCCTACCGAGGGCCCTTGCAAGTCTCATGGCGAGCCCGCCTCCCAGACGTTTCGGCAGGCTTGCAGGGAAGGCGGCGAAGAACTCCCGGAAGAGCCTTGTGGGGGCGAGATGCTGGAAGGGCCGCCTCCCCCAGGCACACGGAACACTCGCTCTGGTCGAAGGGCCCCTCCCTTTGCGCAGCACGTTCCCCGCGAGGGGGGGGACTGGCATCGCATGCGGTACCCGATGTTAGCTTCGCCAGTGGACCCATCATCTTGTCTGCGAGCTCGACTTCGTCCGAGCCCCGAAGGACAGAGACCCACGCTGGCAGCCAGAGCTCGACGGAGGCTCCGAATGGCCCAAAGGCCAAGGCCGCCGAGCGGCGACTGACTCGTGTGACCACGGTCCGCTCCCCTCCAGATGCGCCCTCCCCACCCCCACCCTCACGCCTGCCGCTTTCTTTGTCTCATTCAGTCTCGCACCTCAGCATCAGCCGTTGAAACTTCAAAACTTGCTCGAAGGATTGGAAAATGAGGCCGCGTGGCCCGAGTGGAATGCTGGAGAGGCTCGCGCGAGGGCGGCCCGAGAAAGGGCGGCGCGATCATCGGCGTGCGCACCCCGCCCGACCGGTGGACCCTCACCCGCCCGCCTTCCCCGCTCCCTCGCGCTCTTCCTCGTGTCCCTCGTCGCTCGTCCCTCATTCGTTTCCCTCTCATCCCCCGCTCCCGTCCTCCACTAACCCCTCCATTCCCGCTGGTCCTGTCAAATCCCCTCCACTCTCGTTCCATCTCTCACATCCCCGCCATTTCCCTTCCCCAACGCCTCCATTCCTTCCCTCCCCTCCCCTCCCCTGCGACGTTCCGCCAACGACTCCCATCGTCACAAAGGGTGCGACGATGACATCGACACAGGCAGAAAAGGGGGACCAGCGGGATACAAAAGGAAGTGCGCTTGGCGCCAGCATGCCTGTCCCCTCGAGCACCCTGGGGGGGGGGGGGGGGACAGGGGCCAGATCTTATCCAGCGCTCGCCTTCGCAGAAGTCACACCCTCCCCGCAGCCTCTCCCCTCTTCTTGTGACAGAGGACAGTCCCAGCAGGGGGCAAGCTCTGCCGACCCCACTCCTCCTCCGCGCCCCCGATCGCACCTCTCCCCAGCCCATGCCCGGGCTCACTGGGCCGTCCCCTCACACCAGCAGCACTCTTCTGCAGAGCCCCTGGCTTCCCAGCGGGCAGCAGGTGGCAGCCGGCGCGAGTGCCACGCTCCCCGAAGGCAAGACCTGAGGGCTACTTCTCACTGGTCCTCGCAGTGCCACGCTGCGCCTCTCCCCTCTCGGCCATTTTCCCATCCTCGTTTCTCTCTCCCTCTCTCTCGTTCCCCCCCCTCATGTTCCTCTTCTTCGCCCTCCTCCTCCTCCTCTCCCTCTTCCTCGTACTTTTAAACCGCCCTCCTCCACAGCTTCCTGCGCCAAGTCGAACTTCCCCCGAGCCCCCAAGCTCGTGCCACTCCAAGGCCCAAGGTCAAGGCCATCAGGGAGAAGACCCCAGGATCTGCCCCAGCACCCTTGTCTCTGGCCAAGGTTAAGCCCGTTCGACTGCAACAGGGGGAGCGCGAGCGTTAAGGACCGCTTTCCTGCCTCGGGCTGGAGTTGGTTACCCCTTCGTACCTCACCGCCTCCTCGCCCTCTCCCATCGTCCCCTCGGGAGGGCGGGAGAAGGAACAGAGGAAGATTTCACGGAGGGCCGGTGGGGCAAGGCCCACCATACTCGACACCTGGTGTCGCCCTGGCGAAGGGGGAGAGTTTGTTTTTCGTGGGTTCATTGTGTGCGCGCGACCCATCTTTACGTTGGATTGTCAGCGACAATTCGACCCGCGCAGGTCCTGGTGCCCGAGACGCGCTCTGAGAGCCTGAGGTCGTGAGAGAGTTCGTGAAACGGGAAAGGGTTGAGGGATCTGACGACGCAATGACGACGACGACGACGACGACGACGATAACGACGACGACGACAACGGCGGCTGTCGGGACCCCGTGGATCGCTGGGCTGGCGGGACAAAAACTGGCGGGTCGGAAGGACGGATCATATGAAAGCGGGCGCGCAGGCGTTCAAGCATTCGAATGGGCTGGACCACGGGCGGTGGAAATCAGACCACAGCCTCTGCGACAATGACAACAAACATCAACGCCGCCGCCACCAAGGGCAAAACCTACATAATGTCTTCCCATCCTGAGGCTGTGGGTGACAGCTGTGCTAGAATGCAGGCTGCCAAGAGAGCGCCCGCCCGGAGACCTTGGATGGACATCAAGGCATCATGGGCCCATCGGCAAGGCAACCCTTGCGTTGCCGCTGCCAGCGCCAGCTGCTGCCAGGCTCCTGGGGTTGATCGGTACATTCCCTCCACTGACACCGCTCAGATCGCACTCTCCTTTCCCACTCTCCTCGATAGCCAAAAACAGAACCGCCGCGAATCTTCGATACCCTAACGCCATCTACTGCCAGGTGTCAAATCGCCCTTACGTCTGTGGTCAACACCGCATGCGGCGGGAACCTGACCGGACAAGAACGGGAAGCGTCGCTTTAGTCCACCAAGCATGTGGAATATGCTCTGTTGTTGTTACGCCGCGAAGGTATGCCGTGGCGCGCGTGTCGGCGTGCGTGCGGGGTGTGTTTTGCTGTGTTCCTGTGTGTTCTGCCGTGCTCCTGTTCTGCCGTGCTTGTGTTCTGCCGTGCCTCTGTGTGCTCTGTGTGTTCTGCCGTGCTCCTGTATTCTGCCGTGCGGATCGTCGCGGTGGTCGTTTTGGCGGAGCTTCTGGGCGCGCACGACAGAAAAAGACCAGAAGCACGGCAGAATAGGCCCAATGATCGAAACCGAGCAGAAAAAGACCAGGAGCACAGCAGAATAGACCCCAAGAGCAAAGGAGTACGGCAGAATAGACCCCAAAAGCTAAGGAGCACGGCAGAAAAAGACCAGGAACACGGCAGAATAGACCCCAAGAGCAAAAGAGTACGGCAGAATAGACCCCAAAAGCACAGGAGCAGGCAGAAAAAGACCAGGATCACGGCAGAATAGGCCCCAAGAGCTAAGGAGCACGGAAGAAAAAGACCAGGAGCACGGCAGAATAGACCCCAGGAGCTAAAGAGCAGGGATGAATATGCCCCAAGTGCGAAGGAGCACGGCAGAGAAAGGCCAGGAGCAAAGCAGAATACACCCCAAAAGCCAAGGAGCACGGCAGAAAATGACCAGAATAAGCCCCAAGAGCGAAGGAGCACGGCAGAAAAAGACCAGGAGCACGGTAGAATAGACCCCAAGCGCTAAGAAGCACGGCAGAATAGGCCCCAAGAGCGAAGGAGCAAACCAGAAGAAGACCAGGAACATGGCAGAAAGACTAGATAACTCGTCATTTTCGGCAGACTCCAGGGCGCTGTTGGAGCCATCTTGGGCTCCTTTGGGGGCTCTCATCTCTTCGTCTTGAAGCACTTCGACAACGATGTCGAGGCGATGTTGCGAACATTTCATTTGTGGAGGATGACCCCAGCGAAATGATCAGTTTCTGCTGTGCTCTTTTTTTCGGTCTGCCGCGCCCCTCCCGATTTCCTGAGGATGTCCCGAGCGAAAGCGCAATGTTCTATGAGAAGTGGTAAAACAGCTTTTCTAACAAATCATTTGTTCGAGGATATCTCGGGCGAAACGCTAATTTTCATGCAAAACAATATCCTTGACATTTTTCGACATCCCGATGTTCTGAGGATGTCTCGAACGAACATGTCACTTGTTTACAGAAAACGTCTTAAACGATAGCCTCCAACACCTCCATATTCGGAGGATGTCTCGAGCGATATCGCTGCTTGTGGGAATCCGCCCACGAAAAAATCGGTGCAGCGCCGAACCCCAGATAGTAAGAGATTTGAAAATATGATGCAGACTCAGCCAGGAATACGGAACCCAAGAGCAAAGGACCATGGCAGAAGAAGACAAAGAGCACGGCAGAATAGCCCCAAGAGCGAAGGAGCACGGCAGAATAGGCCCCAGGAGCGAAGGAGCACGATAGGAAAAAAAACAGGAGCACGGCAGAATAGACCATCTAGGACGATCTTTCGGGCTTTATTCCAACTCATTCCTTGAGAAGAGTGGCTTCGTCCACCAAGCATGTGAAACGAAATATGCAATGTTCCTGTGTGTTTTGCCGTGCTCCTGCGTGGTCTGCCGTGTTCCTGTGTGTTCTGTCGTCTTCCTGTGCATTCTGCCGTGCTCTTGAGTGTTCTGCCAAGCTCCTACTTGTTCTGCCATGCTCCTGCGTGTGCTGCCGTGCTCCTGTGTGTTTTGCCGTGTTCCCGTGTGTTCTGTCTGTTTTGCCGTGTTCTTGCGTGTTCTGCCGTGCCCCTCTATGTTCGGCAAAATCAATTCCAAGAGCTAAAGAACACGGCAAAAAGAACTAGGAATACGAACCTCAATCGCAAAGGACCACGGCAAAACAAGACAGAGCGCACGGCAGAATAGACCCCAAGACCGAAGGAGCACGGCAAATTAGGCCCCAGGAGCGAAGGAGCATGATAGAAAAAAGAACAGGAGCACGACAGAATAGACCCCAAGAGCTGAGGAGCGCGGCAGAATAGGCGCCAGGAAAGAAGGAGCATTGCAAAACACGACCAGTGACCAGGAGCACGGCAGAATAGACCGCAAGAGCTAAGGAGCACGGCAAGCTAGATGCAAGAATACGGCATAATACGCCTCAAAGAAGGAGTATGCAAGCAAAAGACAAGGAGCACGGCAGAATAAACCCCAAAAGCGAAGGAGCACGGCAGAATATGCCCCAAGAGCTAAGGAGCACGGCAGAAAAAGGCCAGGAGCACAGCATCATAAGCCCCAAGAACAAAGGATCGTGACAGAAAATGGCCAGGAGCATGGCAGAATAGGCCCGAAGAGCGAAGGAGCACGGCACAAAAAAACAAGGAGCATTTCAGAATAGACCCCAGGAACGAAAGAGCACGGCAGAATAGACGTCAAGAGCGAAGGAGCACGGCAGAACTGCTCATTCTCTGCCTTGCTCTTTTTTCGCCGACCATGCTCCGCCCTATTAGTTTGAGGATGTATGCAGCGAGAGCGCGATGTTTAACATGCGAGGTATTGAAACCGCCACTCCAAGATATCATGTTTGTTAGGATGTCTCTGGCGAGACGCTAGTAGTTGAACATGTGTCGAATTCGCGGCTTCCCATGTTTAAGGGATGCCTTAGGCGAAACGCTCATTGTTGATGAAATTGATGTTGTGAACATTTCATTTGTGTAAGGATGTCTCAGGCGAAATCGCCATTTTGGATCGTCTCGAGGGCGCTCCTGGGGGTCTAATTTGGGCTTGTTTGGGGCCTTGGGGGGCCTTCTTGATGCCTTACAAAACCGTTACAGTCCGATGTTACACACATTCATGTTTTCAGGATGTCCCTAGCGAAATCGTCATTTTTAGATGACTGGCTTAAACCATCTAGAAGCCTTTTCAGGAGCGATCCCCAGACGATGTTAAAACAGCAGTGTTCAAAACGATGTTGTTCGATGTGTTATTTTTTCGAAGACGTCCCTAGCGAAATCACTATTGTCAGCAACCTTAAGGGCGCTCTTGGAGCCATGTTGTGGCCTTTTTGTGCTTCCTGATGCCCTCCTAAAATCATTACGATGCGATGTCGCACGCATCAATTTTGTGAGGATGTCCCTACCGAAATCGACACATTTTGAAGGCTGCCTTGGGCCGTCTGGAAGCCTTGTCAGAAGCAAAGTCAAAACTATGCAAGAACAATAGTTTTCAAGTCGATGCTGGTGTATGTTTTCACTTTTTGAGGATGTCCCTAGCGAAATCGCCATTTTCGGAAGTCTCCCAATCGTTCTGACAACCATCTTGACGTGCGTTTTGGCCTCTCATTTCGTCATCTTGAGGTACTTCGAGAACGATATCAAGACGACGTTGAGGACATCTCATTTTGTTGAGGATGTCCCTAGCGCAATGCAAAGTTTCTGCCGTGCTCTTCGTTCTGGTCCGCCGTGCTGCCGCTCGTTTTCTGAGGATGTCCCTAGCGAAATCGCAATTCTTAACATAAGAGTTAGTTAAAGACTTCAGCCGTCATCTCATTTCTTCGAGGACGTCCCAAGCGAAACGCACATGTTCACAGACGGCGAAATTTCGCTGTCATCAACTTTTCGAGGACGTCTCGAGCGAAACGCTTGTTGTTGTTAAACGCGATGTCGCGAAGATCTCATTTTTGCGAGGATGTCTCATGTAAAATCGCCATCCCGTGCAACCTGACCGGACAAGAACGGGAAGCGTCGCTTCAGTCCACCAAGCATGTGGAATATGCTCTGTTGTTGTTATGCCGCGAAGGTATGCCGTGGCGCGCGTGTCGGCGTGCGTGCGGGGTGTGTTTTGCTGTGCTCCTGTGTGTTATGCCGTGTTCCTGTTTTGCCGTGTTTTTGTGTTCTGCCGTGCCTCTGTGTACCCTGTGTGTTCTGCCGTGTTCCTGTATCTGCCGTGCGGATCGTCGCGGTGGTCGTTTTGGCGGAGCTTCTGGGCGCACACGGCAGAAAAAAATGAGGAGCACGGCAGAATAGGCCCCAAGAGCGAAGGAGCACGGCAGAGAAAGACAAGGAACACGGCAGAATAGACCCCAAGAGCAAATGAGCACCGCAGAATACACCCCAAAAGCTAAGGAGCACGGCAGAAAATGACCAGGAGCACGGCAGAATAGACCTCAAGAGCTAAGGAGCAGGCAGAAAAAGACCAAGAGCACGGCAGATTAGGCCCCAAGAGCGAAGGAGCACGGCAGAAAAAGACCAGGAGCACGGCAGAATAGACCCCAGGAGCTAAGGAGCAGGGCTGGATATGAAGAGTACGGCAGAGAAAGACCAGGAGCACGGCAGGATAGACCCCAAAAGCTAAGGAGCACGGCGGAGAATGACCAAGAGCGCGGCAGAAGAGGCCCCGAGAGCGAAGGAGCACGGCAGAAAATTACCCTGCGACGTACCCAACCCAATGCAATCACGCGGCAAGAAAATTAGGGAAACATTAGCAGGAACAATGACAACGCATGCGCGGCGATTTGTAGCGCAAGCTGCATGGGACACGTAACGCTGCACGACTCTCAGGACAGCAATCGATCAGACGAGGATAACGGTGGCAGGAACGATGGGATAGGAGAATGACGAACCTAATAGGGAGGGGCGAGGAGCCATCGCGGCAGCAGCAGCAGCGTGAATGCATAAGGCGACAGGAGGACTAGGGCGGCGATGATGACAGAGGAGGGAGGAAGCAAGAGACTGTTTCGTTTTTGCAGGAGCTCGGCCAACGCATGCCTGCTGCCTGTCCACAGGATCATACCTGTTTATACCTA